CGTGCAATGGGATAACTAAATGAAACGGATGCCGGTATAGGTAATTGAAAACGGACATCCCATTGAAGTTACATTAATTTGTCACTCGGCGGAGAGAATTCATGTTTTATTTAGAATTCGTAATGGTCTGTAACCAAAAATATTGTTGGCCTTTATAATCCTTGTGTTGAACACTCACCTTTATGTGGATGGATCACCCTATATCTTGATAACTGGTTTTTTTTCATATAAGATAGGGTGTTACAATTACAATTAAAACCGAAACATCTAAACCTTAATTCGGTTCACAAAACACTTGAAAACAGGCAACACTGATACGTAAATAGACATAATTCACATTTATCCTAACCCAATGCTACACACAAATTCACATCTGATGTACCACTAAAGAAAACTTTCCGATTAAAGCGGTGTATCACACACTATTGTGGGTTTTCAGTTTGATAGTCATCAGTGTGTTTGACTAATAGCCGATTTATATAAAGCCACACACTTAACAAGTATAATACCGGCTATAAAGTAGGTACCCAATTATTACATTTTCAAGCGAATGACTTTGAAACAAAGGGTGGTAATTGCTGTCAAGTAGTCATAGTTCCAGTAGTTTACGATATTTTATTAAAAATTAAATTAGCAAAAATTAAATTTAAGTAGATTTAAAAAAAAATTAAATGGGTTACGATAAGACCCTGCCATTTTAACCAACATATTTCCTAATAACCGAGATCTCAATTATACGCGGCGCGAAAAACATGCACCCTGGACATCGTGACCCTTGCAGACCTTGGATCCTTTGATCAGTTGATACTTAAATTTTTACGGTTTAAAGTTCATACTTGAAGTAGGTAAACTTGAAACTGAAGCTTATAAGAATATAGGACATTTTAAGACTTGGACGTTTTTATTTTGACACTTGATCTTTAATGGTGATACGTTCATCTAGAATTTGAAAATTATGATATTTGGAGATTTAGATGTGCAAGTTGAAATACGTATTTTAGATCTTCGAGTTACGGTTGAAATTTAAAATTGATAGAATGAGGCTTGATAATTTCAAATTGCAGGCTTCACTCTTTTTGTTGAATGCTAGAATTTGAACTTTTGAAGCTTGTTTGTGACCTTTAAAGCTAACACAAACGTGTACTAAATGTTGTAAACGTATCTCTCAATATACACTTAGTATCTAGTCAATTTAGTAAGTATCACTGACCTGAGCAGATCCCTACCAAGTGTAGAATTAATTCTGGATGACCGAAAATGAAATCGAAATCAAGATTTTTGTTAATTTAATAAACTAAGGGTAGGCAACGATGAGCTGATTAATTATTATTTGGGAAGCTAGTGCCAATTTCTAAAAATTTTAGATAAAACATTTCTGATTTTATACCGGAAGTTAGCTCGCACTTCGGTATTTTAAAGAAGATGCTTTAATTTTTTAATTTATGCAAAATTTTGACAAAGCCACTCTTATGGTAAATAATTTCTGATCTGAATTTGAAGCAGCAGGAAAAAACTGCAAAGCATTGCAATTTAACCTTATAACTTAATAACGCGAATGATACCCATACCATCACGCTCAATCTGAAACACCCAGTATATTTTCTGCAGCTTACTTTCTTTTCTACTCCTACTCTTGTAGAAGATGTAGATTATAACTTCTACTATCCCCGTGTAGGGACGGGTAGTAGAATTTTCCTACTGCAGGGGCCACTGTATGTCGTAAAAAGCGACTAATCAATGGCAAATATGGACACGATTAACACTAAATACGGTGGTCGACTTTCCCTGCGTATTACTCCTATACTATAAACTTAAGCGCTTAAGCAATAATTTAGACTCTTGTCGTACATATACATTTATTTTTCGTAGTGTTCTTTTAATCAGTAAATCTTTGTGTATAATGAATGTGGATACCATGGACGACTCATCCACAAAAATATAATTTAGCGAATTTTCTAGAGCGATAATCCAGTCGCCATCAAATCAATAAAAGATTAGTCCCTAGATAGAAGCTGCAACATTGAAGTGTCAAACTTCATTGATTTTTGGGTTAGGTTTATAAGTGACCTGTGACAAACGCCAAACGCCATTCCACATCTAATTTAAATAAGGCGGCTACAAATCAGTTGTATCTAGTAAAGTATAGTCAGCTTGGGGAACAATTGCATTGTTTTGAATCAGTGTGACTGCATCAAAGGCTAAAAAATTCCATCTTTTAATAGTCATTATACACATCAGTAGTATAGCTCAGTGTTAGAGCATTGGGCTACATAGCCAGAGGTTAGGTGCTCGAACCTGGGCTGAGGTAAGAATTTTTCATCTGTGGCAGCGATGGGAATTTCCTTAGATCAGTTTTGAGCATTCTGGCTCCCTCGGGTTTTCCTGAAGTTTTCCTAATTCGTTAGGTAAATACCGAAGTAGTATAGAACTTAAGCTCTTCTGCAAGGACACCTGTAAAAAGCATTATGCCGGCCACTGTAATTGGGCAAAAGCCTGTTGAGCGCCCAGGACAAGAGGGACAGTAAATAAATAAAATAAATAAAGTACACACCTCTCAGCAGGGTTATACTTATACATACTTATTTCTAATCACCTTACTTTTTAAATTGACGCTCATATTTAATAAAATCAATGTGTTTACCTATAGAGGGTGTAGAGCGTATCTAAGAATTTGGACTACAGCTATTGTTTTAGTGGAATATGTATTATTTTCTTTTTATGTTAATTTTGAGAGACCGATTTGAGGCTATCATACAAATTTTGATATACATATTATGCACATACATATGCAATTTGTAGAGTACGAAGTAAACGCAATATATTGAAAATGTAAAAAAATAGCATTCAGTACAATCTGTACATAACGTATATTAACTACGATGCAAAAACTGAACGAAATCTAACTAAATTTACTCAGTTTAGTATTCTGTATATCAGTACAGACTTCCGTTTTGAGGGCGATGTGAATTTACGCGAGTTCCGTGAAACTGAACTTTCAAGGTTTGCAACTAGATGGGGGTGACGATTGGATCAGATGTAGTTCTTTAAATTTGTATTCGTGATTAGATAAAGGATGATCTTATTGTCGACGAAAACGACAATAATTTACATCTGATGGGCTGTTAGTGCTGTTACTAATTACTATCCACCCTTTTGTGTGTGTATCTACACTTAATCTATCGGATTGCGTCAAAATTGTCGGTTTTCAATCAATAACATCATTTAAGATGCTACCTGTAATCATTTTAACACACATACATTATTGTACTTTTGGTGTCATAAGGCTTCGATCATTGGAAACGAATACTTAATCGGCCATATATTTTATTTTCAACAGTTTGTACTTATGTAAATATCGTTGACAGTTGTTCGCTTTCATACTTCTTTCATAATTTAGAAAAAAGGATGTGCAGGTTTCTGCATGGTCTCATTGCTGAGATCTCAGACCACAGACGGACCGACAATTCACGACGGAATTTAGTAAGGCGGTATTTACAACTCGTGTGAAAAGTTTCCCTTTGAGCGTGAGCGCTCGTTGTATAATATCATATTAGGTGACTCCCATTACTTTCCACGATGATACTAATTATATATTGAAAACTTGTGGGCAAATTTATTGTATACACTACACTTGATATTCCGTTTTGAAAAGCCGTGTCGTTGGGCCACGATGGTACAAATACAAACCGGCGGTAGCTTGTATACAGGATGGCGCATCTAAAACGAACCGAACCACCCTTAATAACTGGTAAATTACACCGAGGGGGAAATATTTAACGGTCTATTTCTGCTCACGACACTCAATTATGGAACATAAAATCAACGGTCTGGAAAATTCAGCTTCCGCTGTGTAAATAAATAATAACAATGATAAACCGTTTCAACAATAGGGGGCGGGTATACTATTTTAAAAAATAAAATTTGGAAAAGATTCTTTTTGACGATATCACATCTCGTTTGCTTTAGATACACCACGCTGTACCGCCTATATAAGATAATATAGGGAATGCTTTGTGTCCAAAAACAAAATAAACAGTACTTACTGTTTTTTTTTTGAAAAATCATGTTAATGATACAAGAAACATACACAACACTTAACATTCTAAGTAACACTATTAACAGTTGATACCATGATATAATCAACATTGTACGTCAAACCGTACTATATTAATACATGGGTGGGTACAGTTTGTTAAACATGGATAAAATCAATTATATTATACAATACTATAATCAATATTGACATTACACTTTACACATCGCACGCCACACCAAGTATTTGGTTATTATAAAATTTGGCACTGGAATTTGCATAACAAAGCGAATTATCAACAGAAGATTCCGCGACGTACCAATTCCTGAATATCCATTAATTAACTTTCAATCAATGTAAAATGACACTAAGGCGGAACATGCGTACCACAGCACTTCTGAAATGATAAAAACATGTATCAGTATTTATTAGTGGTTAAAAACGGCATGTAATGTATATAGTGTGATTATTTAGATGTGCATGCTTAGAATGAAATTTTTTATTTATTGAGAGGGTATTCTGAACCTTGAAAATCTTTCAATATTGCTTTGGATTGTTTTAAAGAAATAATTTCCAGTATTGCGCAGTATAGCAACCGATTTTTCTCCTCACTACAAAAAGAGGGAATATGTTTGATGAATTGATCCATTCCTCGCTGAATTTATGGAAAAATAATTAAAATATTAGTTCGCCAACCAACGTCATAGGTGTATTTTTCCAAAAATGAGAGTAACTTATTTGAATGCTATTGTGATAGTTGGAACTATATTTTTTGTGTAAGAGCATATAAAGTTATCCTAATCTATTTTATATGCATTGGATTTTCTGTTAATTTTGCAAGGCGTGAAATATTAGAAATTAACATTAACAGTTGTAATTCTGTAAGTTTTTATTTAAATTATGGCAGGTAATTAAGGTGTTTTACCTTTACCAGAAGCAACTGTATATACCTAGATTAACACGCCAATTATCTAATTCATAATGTACTTACCCAAACTTAAAAATTTACCCAAAAATTCTCGCGGATAAATAGTATGCAAAACCGTGTAATGAAATTGTGCTTAACAACTGAAAACCCTCCCTTTATGTCCAAAATATGGTGGCTGGGCTTATTAAAACAGATCATATTCCCAACTAAGCCGACAGTCGTAAAATTTGACTACAAACGTCCCAAAATTGTCACCCTTTTTTCAGCCTATTATGTATATGTCGTAAAACAAAGGCGCGTGGAGTGATATATTTTATATATTTTTTTCGGCACATCCTTTTCGATTTTGAACAATTTTTCAAACGTTCATCCTACTCCGCAAGGTGGTGTAAAAATTCGATCTCGTCCCGTAAAGGACTTATATTATTATTATTATATATTTATCTAAATAAAATAAATAAATAAATGACCAAAATTCCTTGACCATTCGAAACTGTTCGCGAATTTGGACGGACAGAAAGTCCAAAATCATGAACGAGCTGAGTCGCTCGTTTAATAACTGTTAGTAAAAACTGTAATAGAACCTTAAATTTCTGTAAATCATTGTTTTACTTAATTTCATGGCAATTTGCAACGCACCTTTCTTTTAATCCCCACGGTTGCGCGTCATTAAGGAGGTTGTGCATTCTTTCGAAATAAAATTTTGACTTCCTAAGTAAACTTTCTAAATTATTTAGCACAACGGCCCACATGAATAAAAGGGAGCATATGCTTTTACTTCACACTGGGCGATGTAGCAGCCCTGCTTATCCGCACTGCTGAGCAGCGGGATGGGACGCAGTGCAGAGCTGCTCAGCAGTGCGGGTAAGCAGCGCGGCTACGTCGCCCAATGTGAAGGGCACTTACGAGTATTTACTTTGAATTTTGCAAGTATAAGCATATGCCCCCTTTTATTCATATGCCCCATTAACTGACCGGGTAGCCCTTGACATAAATTTTACACTGACTTATTGAAGATTTTTCCATTTTTCAATCTGAAAATTAACTTCAAGTCCGCTTTTACAAATTACTTGCTCATAAAATTAAACACAAAATTAATTTTGGATATATTTTATGTTAAAAGATATTTAGATTTTAATTTTACATAAATAAAATCACAGTACATCGTTTAAAAAATGTCCTTCTGTAGACGACAGTGTTGACATGAAACAAACCCTGTCAGCCCCCTTTATATCGGCAATATTTCACAGCGAATAAAAAGTAGGCCATCCTTAAAAAAACTCAAAAAACTCACAAAAACTTTATCTATCTGTATAAAAAATCCGAAATAAATTGATTCCACACTGAAAGCTAGCGTTATAAATTCACTAATCAATAAGTCTTGAAGAGGTGCTGCTGAATACCATGTCATTGCAATATTGAGAACGATAGTGTATTGAATAAGGTGTAATATCGAAAACGTTTCAAGTTCTCTCAGAATATCCCTGATTGTACATTTACAAAATTGTCTACCCTAGAACTAACTAAATAAAACATAGACGTTACACCTGTCCCAAGGTATGACAAACTTGCAAAATGAGCCAAATAAGCCTGCGAACTTTGTCTTGGAATTGAGAGCTAGTAACGCATTGTCATACTTTCATACTGATCATGATCTCGATGGAAAAATATTTTTCCAAAACTCTTTGCATACACCAAAGAGTATCCACAGCACTCTTTGCGTACACTCACCTACTATACAATGCTGGACACATAGCTAAAATGATATGGAAATTATCAATAATGCGCAGTTCAATAATATTTAACGAATATTGGCAACACACCTGACAAACCACACCATCCCAAAAATTGGCTAATTAGACTAGTTCAGCGTTGTAATTGGCATAACAAGGCGGTTGTGAATCATAGGATACGACGGAGGATGCCGCAACGTAGCTGTTTTGAGGTATTCCTGAATATCCACCAATTGTCACTATCGTCGTTGTTGGTTTATTCATATCAATGTAAAATGAGACTACGGCATACCACGCATACCATAGCAATCCTGAAATTATAATAAATTATACTATAGCGCCTTAATGGAAAAAAATGGCAATGTATATATAGTATGGTTAACTAAATTTAAACAAAAAATTCTCCAATTTTGGAGAATGAGTTTGGTGATTTTAAATACATCGAAGGATATTTGTGAAATATGTAATTATGATCAGTTTCTATAGAGCGCCCATAATTAACGAGAGAAAATTGCACAAAAAAAAATTTTATTACCATTGGACTAAACTTAATGAATTCTGGATTCTTTAAAAACTTTTCTGCTCTGTTTCCATAATGGTTGGAAATTCACAATCAATGGATCAATCAAAAGATTTTTTTCTGTTTAATTTAGGTAGTCTATTCGACTCCACCTAGTGGATATCAATAGGGTTAAGTGATAATTAATTGCACCCGCTCAAGTGATAGGGTAACTTTCATAGATCAGAATCTGCATACTATCCTTCTGAGATATTGGTCATCAACACTGCTAGTTCTTTTTATCTAAAAACAGAAAAATGTGTATGAATCTTTTTCGTGATGGGTACCTACTTCCAAACTTTATCATTGTTCAAAACATTTGAAACGTGTCACTAATGTTGTCACATTCTCTTTAACGCGAAGAACCACAGAGTCAATTCAAATTAAAAATTGATCAGAGAACTGTGTTGTGAAAGAAATGCCAGTAGCGTAATACGCATGCGTGCTATACAGCACTGTTGAGTGTATTTAAAATTCTCCATATCTTTAAGAAGTAAGCACCTTGTCTACTTTGATCCAGTTAAGCCAATACAATTCGAATCTTTCCACAATTCATGGTTTCTATCTTATCACAAATAAATACTACCATTCACCCCATCGTATACCACACCAATGAAATACCGACTTGTTACATCTTAACAAATTCCACCCCAAATTTTTATTATTTCAAACTTGCCCGTACGTTGAATTCCGCCTCGATTATGATATAGATCTATGGCCCTAACGTATGTCAGAGGAGTTAGTTCGCAACGGTCCAGTAGGTGACGCTAGCGCTGTACCAACTGTCAGATTCTTTGAAAGTTTGAATTATTTACGGGAATTTTTGGAGCCGTTTCACGATGAGCATAAACGAACAAGCTGGTATTCACTTTTGGGAATTGTATTTACGCGGAGACGTTCAAAGAACGAATTTGAATGTACCCTGTATATTTTGTAATAGACGAGGCGATGGAAAAGGGCAGACTATTGAGCATACCGACGATGGCTTACTAGGTAATTATTATTAACAATATTTCTAGGTACGTACCTAAAATGTCACCACTTAGCAAAATGCACTAAGCAAGGTTTCATGTTTCATAGCAAAATCGACAGCGGAAACAAGGTCGTCAGAAAAAAAACCTACACCTAGATTTTGTAACAGTTTGGCAAAACCGTTGGGGAGGAGGGGGGGGGGGGTTAAGTTACTTCATTAATACAGTCAAAAATTGTATGTAGGTACTAAACCATATTCACTTTAAGAAGATAGCCGTAGAAAGCTTAGGGAAACTTTGACTTGTGATTAGTTAAAACACCAGACAGTGTTACGTTGCATAATAAAATAAGGGACGAATTTTGTTGATAGCGTAGTTGGTAGTATCTGTTGCCAACTAAATTGTCGAACTGTCATTAGCTGTCAATGTCAAAGGTCCAAACATTAAATCGTTTCATTTATTTCTGTGTTTTCAAATTTGGTGCCGATGTTGTCCGATGAGATACGATTTGAGACCGTCAAAGTTAAAATTAGTAAAAGTCAATTAATTAATCGCCTAGAAATGTTAAAAGATGAAACCTATTCTTATTTGTAGACATATACAAGATGTGGAGTATTTCAAACTTCTCGTAGTAGGTACGTGGTTGCAATGGAAGCTGCTTTTTACGCCACACCACTTTAATTTGCCGCCATATTCACATACCCACGACTACAGTGCCCTCTATCGGTAACCACCCACATTGTATAGAAAGTATAAAGTTAATAGATAATAGCAGTCCAATCGAAGATTTCTCCTGGGTGTGCTTTTCTTCAAACACAGCACCATCACCTTCTTATAATGAATGCAATTAGTCAGAGATCAAGATTTTAGTTATTCCATTACAAAAAAATTATTTTACTGTTTTGATTGCAGAAGACTTACTGGACATGGAGGAGGAGATGGCCTACCGTAAGAATAATGAAGGCAAATCAATGATTTAAACTCTGTTGTGTACTTTAGTATTTGTTTCTTGTTGCTACACTGTTTGCTTAAACGCTTTCCTTGTTCATACAAAATAATAGTGATTTTCTGGAAGTAAGTGATCGAGATAAATTGCTTGTACAGTGAGATCTTTTGGTGTGAAAGATTATAGCCTCCTACGCTCTGTGTATTGAGGAGAATAATTGCACGAGATATTGAGTTGAAATTTTATTTTCGTACTTCCGAGACTAAAGTGACCACTTCACTCCATTATGACAAGTACTGAAGTGTCACTTTTTGTCCCGCCGGGATTAAATTTTGACGAAAATCCCGGAAGGATGAAATTACTAACAAGGCAATTTCAGTAGGTTGTTCCACATTTTGTATGCGGCACTACTTCTTAAACGTATCGTACTGCTGCTCATATAGTTTTTTGGATTTCGGTGGTATCAATTCTTTACCTAGTTTGGCTGCTTTTTATGAATACCAAATACACTTTTGTCACCCACCACCAAAATTATGACACTAGCAATGACAGTTTCCAAATTATTTTTGTTACCACAGCATAGGAATTGTCGTACCAACGCAACGTTCCTATGGTAACTTGTTAAGTAGCGATTTTTTGAATGAACGCATTCTCTAAAGGTGGGTTCATAGCTCTCCGTTCATCCGTTGCGTTGATCCGTCGAACGGATAGTACGTTTTGTTAAGGTTCATAGCAATCCGTCCACATTGTACATTTGCAAGTATAACCATAACCTAAACTTTATTTTGTAGTGTACCCTCCGTGATTTTCAGTATGTGAAAATGGTACGAAAGTAAGAACACATTGCTATCTGATTATTACCGTGAAGAACGAATAGGCGAACGCTGTTAACATACCAAACATAACCTCACTCTTGTTAAAAACGGACCAACGGAAACGTAAATGTTCAACTTCAACCAACTTTTCCGTCGTAAACGGACGACGTACGATTTAAAAATTTGCTGTCTTCTGATTGGCTAACGGACAAACGGAAACGTATGAACGGAGAGCTATGAACTTACCTTAACTCCATACATATTAAGTGTTTCAGTTTCGGAAGTACGAAAAATATCGTATATACCTTGCGACTGAAGTAGTGTTCTTAATCCCTCAGGTAAAATATGGCCCTCCCTTCGGTCGGGCCATAAACTTTACCTTCGGGATTAAAAGTACTACTTCAGTCCCGTGGTATATAATATACTATTTTTATGACAGGGTAAAAAAATTAAATAGGTATTACCCGGTGAGAATCCGCCACATTTATGATATTCGCTGTCACACATAGTATACTTTCGTCAATATTGTATAATACAAATTTTACCCAATGAGTTGACTTACCGGACATTAACGTTCCTGCAAAAAGTTCAGGTGCGAAGAACATGAATATTAAACAGAAGAGCGTACATAAACCTAGACCAAATGCTACATATACTATCCAAGGTAGCAGGAAGTGCTTATTCACCTAAAAACGACTTTCTGTACTTTTTATAAAGGCATTCGCCAACCTACCTACCTTTACGGATCCATACAGCAGCATAATGTTGACTACTACGTAGAGGTAAGAGTAAACGACAATTATCCGTACATGACTTTTGGTATCTTCTTCTTCAATACTTTCCAAGAAAACTGCTTGCGTAATTATTCCGGCAATTGTAAATAACTAAAAAAGAACAATCTGTTAGTTAAGCCATGAGTGAATGTACTGAATCCCTAAAATTTTCAATCGTTTATCTTTCTATGCCTAGTCGCTAGTTTTATCCACCAGAACAAAAGGTAATTGAGAAAGCAATAAGCTAAGAAATTGAAATGTGTTTTAGTACCAAGTTACGACGATGCTTTGTTGATGTGTGATCTGTTATCATAAATTCCATAGCAAAGATCGCCAACTAAGGATGGTTCAAATTCGTGGCTCACCATTGGGATGTGCAGTGAAAGATACAGTGTAAGTTAAATGAGGGAAAAGTTGCACCTTTTTGTACCTAAAGAAACGCATTTGAAATTTTTGAAAAATCCTTGAAATTAACTGACATATTACTCAAAACTGAAAATGTAAAATTTCGTTTTCATTTTCCCTAGTTTAAACCATCGAAAATGGACGGTTCCCTTTCGCATCTTCAATTTATTTTAGGTTGTTTGTATTTTTAGCAATGGGCTCTTCGGAGATTCTGAATCTGTTAGCAGAAGTTCCATAAGACGCTAGATGTAGAAGCTATAGACTACTATTTCTTATTTCTTATGGACACCATATTCGGATTTTTACGGAATGAGATCGAAAAGAAATTCATCTGAATGCATTGCCTTCATAGCCATGTTGATTCAGCACAATCTAGTTGTCTTTGGATGTTTTGTTGAGAAATGAATGTAAAACCTTTGATTTTGCAGTTTTTCTTGTAAATTTATCTAAAAGTATAGAGTGTGACGTCATTTTTTGTCCTCTATCCTCTATCTCATTCCGTTAAAATCCAATATGGCAACAGACAGACAGACATCATCGAAATTTTGTTTGATTCGGAATCCTGGTGCTTCAAAACGTGTATTTCCGTCAAAAAAGTGGGAGGGGGGGTCATTATTTACCCCAATGCAATACCCCCCTTGCTAACGTGCGGGTGGTAAAAATGGAATGCACTAGTTGAATGTACGTTATTTTATCTAATTACCACTATAGAATAGTAAGATTCTAATCTCAGAGAATTTGCTATCATATTGTAGATACACAGCACTGTAAAGCCAATCCACGCAGGTAACAACGCAAAATGGTACTTACAAATCCACAAATTCCTACAATAATCGTTCCAGTTCGCAAATCGCAACATCCACAGCACGAATTTAAAAGCTGCATCTGCTTTTAATATTATTCGATACCTAACTGTGATTTTTTCACCAAACTATTTCCACTGACACTTGTAACCTTAGAGCAATAGGCGGAGAACAATTCTTGCTGTACTACGAGCGAAAATCTGATGACGTCCGTAGCGCCAGTCTGGCTGGCGCAACGGAAAATACAAGATTTTACTATAGAAAACTTGCGAAAATTAGTAACTGAAAACGGGATCCGTTTTATTTTATATGTCATTGCTTAAATTGTTGCAATGTATGTACTTTGTTCGAAAATAAGAACTTTTGTATTATTGATTGACATACATATTTTCATTTGCATCAGAGATTTAAATTAAAGAACGACCACTCCAATAAGCTTTAGTGACTCTAAAAGTCTAAAAGCTTCTATAGGCCTTAAAATCTGTTAAAGGTTCCAAAAGGCTTTGAAGACTCTTTAATTGTCTCCGTTCCTAATGAGTAATGACTCACTTGATACCTCTTCACTCAACGCTTATAAGAAAAGACCTTACAATACAAGTTCTACTCTACAGCTAGGTACACTTGGAAACTCCTTGAACCCTTTGAACGTTCTTGAACTGCTTTAAAGATTCCGTGTGCTATTAACCAAACTAGTATACCTACTGTACTTCAGAAAGCTTTGAACATTCTTTAAAGCGATAATGAACGCACATGTTCTTAAGGGTCTTGAGAACGTTCTTAGAAGCTCTGGGTGACTCCTTCAAGCTTCTTTGAAAGTTCAAGATAAATAAGATTTCCCATGTAGATAAAAATTCCAAAGATGACTCGACAGTCGACACTTCGACAGCATCTACTTGTTGATCGCATAGTTGCTTTTATGACTCAAATAGTCACTGAATAAGTAATTCTATTCAATGCTAAAAACTAATTCTATGCCTTCGAAAATATGTAATAGGACCAAAACATTAAACAATTGCTATTGTTTTTCCTCCTTAATACGTATACTAAGTATACCTTGAATTTTGTTTTATTTCTAAAATATTTACGAAATCGGCCACCTTCCTCGGTCCGTCAATTATCTTGTAACTCGTCTTGTAAATAACAAAAATTTAAATTTAAAGATACTGTGTCTAAAATTATGGTCTAAATGCGAAAGGAGGCGCTTTTATCTTGTTATTACACCCTTCTGCATGGTTTAAGTAATTGCTTCTTTAAAGGTTCCAAATATTAAAATTTACGGCATTTAATAATAAACTTATTGTATAGAGATTAAGCATTTCACATTGTCCCCTTTTACTTTAGTTATCTTTGAAATTACGCCGACTGGGGTTATTTGTGAATCATTTTCTCTTTGCTGTAAATATATTGCAGAGAGGGTTTGCATTTTGCGTCAATGCTAAAATAATGCTTATTAATTATTAATTAATTAGGATTCCGACTGCACCCAGTGAGACGGTTTGAGTTTCGTAATCGCATTTTTGCAATGTGTATAAAACTATAAAATATAGCACCGTAAAAATATAGTATATAATAAAAAAAAGGCTCCGAATACTCAACCTCACTGGTGATGTGGAATAGAATATCACGATTATTTGGTGGAATAAAATCATGTTATACATATGTTCGTTTAATTGATAATGGCAACATCGTCAATAGTAATAATTTTCTGTGGTATTACATATTTTTAGAAGACTTGTAATTACAATGAGAAATTTGGCTAGGGCAGGCTTAAACAGGCTTAAAATTTGTCAGGGCGGGCTAAGCCGATTTAAGAGCCGCACTGCTGCGGTTTATGCCGATAAGTGGCGAAAGAGTAGACTATCAACTAAATTTTAAGCATACAAATAAGTTTTTTTTACGAATCAGTCGAAAGTTTTTGAATATTGTGTTCGAAAAAGGAAGATCTGGATTTGTACCCTTTTTAAATAAGAATTCGAAGTGTGTCAATTATAGGAACTAAAAAGTGACATTTTGGTGGCGCCACGATTACAAAGTGTCACTTTAAACAAACAAGAAATCCGAAATTAGAAATATTACCTACTGCAGATTTGCAATTGATCGCTACCCGCCTATCAGTGAGGGTTTTGACTTTTGAGTATTAATATAGGGTTTTGAGTGGAAATTTTGAGTCAACGTGTGCGGTTCTTTTACAGAAGAATTTTCTTGAACGTAACTTGAGACCTCTATCAATGATAACTGATAAGCAGAAGTAGCGCGAGCAATATTAATTTATTGTATATTATAAAGTCCCTAGATTACTAAAGTAACGCGAATAGCAGCCATTTTGGCTCAGTTTGGGAACCGCGAAATTTGAAATTGAAGCAAGTATGTATTTTGTAGTCGCTCTTGGATTGTGCGGATACTTGGATAGGGCAAGAGTTTTGTGAGCGTATCGTTTAATAGCCTTTAACATCACAAGAAAGATATAGTTGCATCGCTTTTTCAATCGATTCACCACTTGCATCCAATTTTAAATATTTTAATTGATTTTCATTAAAAGTTTTCGAAAAATTGTCTCCACTTCTGAGTAATTTCTTTTTTCAGTTTCTGTTTTCTTGCAAAAGATGACCTTCTCTAATGAATTAATGGTTACATCAGTACTCTCCTGAATGTACACACAGCTATTAAACAACAAATGTCAAACCTGACACTAGGTGTCAAACGGCCATTTTGGCTCAATTAGCAATTTGTTTTGTCTAATACACTGGCCTAATGAATCGCGTTACTTTAATAATCTAGGGACTCTAGTATATTATGTAATTGCGCGCCCCTTCCGGCAATTGTATAAAGCAAAAGTAATAAGTGTATCCCCTCCATCTGCGGGGACCCTTACGAGAATTTGTAGCTCTGCCGTGTATGAGATCCCCATAGTGAAAATGAAAAAAAAAACTCACCTAATAGGGTTGAATATTATGCATTTAGAATTCAAAAAATTGTTTTTCGGAATTCTCAAATTTAAATTTTTTGTGTTTGCGCCAATTCGCCGTCGTAGATAATTGGAAATTGTGTACTTACCTTAACCTGATACATTTTAGTATGTTTACCTAAATTTGCGTTAAACTGTTCCATACTTTGCTTTTATACATTTAAATTTAAATTTTAAACTACGCGCGTAACGTCATTGTCATGACAGCACTGTTGGCTAAACTGTTTTGCACTTTATTGGTTTGGTTGCTTCGAGAGACTACCTTCCATAACACATTTCGCGGTCAAGTGTTGACGTTTGTTGTTCTTTGCAATTCTGGTAGTAGCTGTAGTTACATATTATAAAATCTTATACCTATCTATTTTTTCTGGCTGGCTTCTCAGTACTGGACTCTTCAGAAAAACGGTAAGACATTTTTATTTCAAATTTGAATGACAAACTCGGAAAAGGTGCCAAACAGTCACAACTAAAGTAATACGCAAACTTGTGACCCAAGTATAATTTATTTCATGCCGTAAATGGAAGACGCAGACTGTAATAATGTTATTAGAGATTTTTTAAGACACTGGCAACTTGGCAGTTGCAGTGCAAGCGATTCTTTCATGAAATGTGAGATACAGCAGACGCAATGTCAATGTCAACAAATCCATGAAAAATTAGAACTGCAACAGAATTGCACGTTGTAAATCATAAGATTAGAATTCCCAAGTACCACCACCTCCCCTTCACACTTTACAGGTGCTCTGAATTTTGTAGTTGGTTTTCATAACATTTATCCAACACATTTTTGCATGTTTGGTAAACTGTAATGTTTTACAGGGTGTTTTTTCCGATGTTCTATTTCATTTTTATTTGTTCTTATTTAATGCATAGGTATAGTTCGTTTCACCAATAATTTAACATTTCTCATTAGGTCGTTAAGTAGCGGGAATTCCCACAGCGACATTTAAAACAATAGGACAATAGCCCCCATTTAACTAAAAGTCAGCGGTTCTCAATAAAATTTTTATGTTTCAAACGCCAAATTTATTATAGGTACTTAATAATTTTATATTTTAAATGTTAAAGGTATATTTGGGACTATTTATTTGTAAAATGTTCTGATTCCATTCCATTCCCCTAGCCATTCCCTCTTTTCTCCGGAAGGTGGTTGCACTATTCTGTTCTTTACTTACATTACTTCTCTTATATTAGCCTTTTTTCTTTTCATTTTTAAACCGATCCAGTAGTAACGCAAAGAAGATAAATTGATAGCTATGCAAACGACGGTATTGGTTGGTTGGTAAGACCTACTAAAATCATTATTCAAAAAAATAATTTAATATGTCTCGAGTTCCTTTGGCAACCGTAATATAATAATATGCTGTTAATAAGTACATTATAAATAATTTATATGTAAATTGTCTAAGCCAGATATACGTGTGTATGATTCATCGCTGTGCATATCGTAATTATAACCTGATTGTTTGCTGTGTCTCTCACAGATACTACACATTGTTAGAAAGGATGGTATACAGGGTTCTGCCTAGCGCGACGCAGCGTAGGGATTTCTTTATAGTTAATTTCTAGCTCCACTAATCATTTTAGAGCAAAAATCTAAATACGTTTTTTAGAGAAAAAAATACTGCATCTATTCATACTAATTATACTTATAATTTTCCGTTTTTCAAAACCGTAGAAATCGACAAAATAAGAAATTATATATAACACATAAAACAACTTTAACATTTCCACTTTCTCTTCAGTTAAATACGTGATAGGTAAACTAAATTTTATGATTAATTAATTTATGAACAAGTATACATTTAATATACGCCAAACGTAAAGAAACGAGATCGCTGGTTCTTAGGTAATTCTAAGGCATACTTATCTGATTTATTGAAAAATGAACCTTTTTATTTTGTCGATCTCTACGGTTTTGAAAAACGGAAAATTATAAGTAATAGCATGAACACATGCAGTATTTTTTTCTCTAAAAAAACGTACCTATTTAGACTTTTGCTCGAAAATAATTAGGGGAGCTAGTAATTGACTATAAAGAAATTATCATTGAAATCCCTATTCTGCGTCGCGCTAGACAACACCCTGTATTACTGGTCTTTAGTTTAAATTTAACCGTCAACTGACGTGACCTGAATGTTTCCGGCTCGATTTTAATTTAACCATACCATTCAACTATAGTCAGTCATACATAAGTCTACGAGGCGCAAGATATAGTAAGTAAAATATGTAGGTTTTGTTATTTTGTTTCAGGTTTACACCATATTAAAATGGCATTATCTAAGTTTTGTGAGTATTTCGACCTGAAGGAAGGATTTAAAGCCTTTGTAATTATTATGTTGGTAAGACAATTTAATTTATGAAATTAGCAGTTCAGTAATTCTTCTTTATTACAGATGTTTAGACTATTAAGCTTTGCTGCTGTGCCTGGCATAATTTTTCCGATGTTCGATTATAGAAACGAGTTTGAAAATTTTCAAGTAGGTCTTCTATTTGTTATCGCGTATGCTGTTTGGAATTTTGGGTCTACTATAACGCTGATTATTGCATTGAGAGGACTGTATAAGGTAAACTTCTTGAATTGCGCAAAATATGTTTAAAGGTGGTACCTACCCTACGCTGAACCAGCAATATATCTTCAAGGTACTAATCATCGCTGTTTCTACTAGATAGATGTAAAAAAATGGTGGCCGTCGCGTACAATAGTACAATAGTAATTCAAATTGTCATACTTTATATTACAAATTCAAAAAACCACTCATTCTTTTTTGCTGTTTAATTCTAAGCGATTTCTATTCCAGAATGATGCAGGTCTGCTGTTTCCAAATTTGGTTGTGATGCCAATGGAGATCATTCTAACCGTTGTGTCTGGCATCGTTCTTCCTCTTGGCGCAGGGATACCACTCTTTGCTTTGTATTTGTTGGTTTCATGTAAGTATGTAGCATTTTGAAAGTATGACTAAGAGTTCTATGTTTCAGTTGTCCACATTTATCATTTCATGTGTGTTTACAGTTTGTATAAAAAATTTAAACGTGAAGAAACTGTTACTCCAGCTAATGCACGGAATTTAATTAATTCTGTGTAGGATCTTCTTCACGAATTCATTTATTTGTGTTTCAGGATTGTTTTGACTAACTCACTTTCATTTTTAATGTAATGAATTTTTTTGTGTTCTAGAGTTATTCTTAAGTTTATGTATACGTTGTCATTCTATCCTGGTATTTAAAGCTAATCGTTATGTATAAATTGTACATTATTATGTTGTGTATGTTACAAACATTGCGACCGATGTATAGTTGTTGTTTCACTTCACTTCATCATGACATTTGTAGTACTTTTTAAAGTAAATAGTTTTTCACGAAACTGGAAAAATCCAAAATCCCTACCATGATCACACTTTCACACAGAACATGCGGAAGAGTTCGTTCGCTCAACTCATGCAAAGCCGTAATAGTAAAAACTCGACCTCATCGATGATCGCTGTTGGAGGGAAGATTTTTTGCTTGCGCAGACAGGCAGATGAAGAAAAATGAAAATAAGCGCTAACTACTTTAATAGGTTGTTCAAAAATTTCCAATGTTTAAATAAATATCAAGTGAAGTATTTGCCCAATAGGTACGTTGGCTGGAGATCGCTGATGCGGTTGAAAAATGTGTTCGACATAACGGTGTATACTATAACCTGGAACTTAATTAGAAAAGGATAGATATCTATATGGGTTTGAAAGTTTCAAAATATATACCAATGAAAATCTTTGTTCCGGTAGAAAAGGGGGCTATACCTATAAATTTTCATTTTCAAAGAAAGGCAGACCTTTATAAATATTTTTACTTGTTCTAAAGCACTCTTTGTGAATATCGAGGTAGGTGTAGGGTGTACGGCTATAGGATAAAAAATCACATTTCGTTAAAGAAACTACAATACGCGTTGAAGCATCGGAACTAATTTTTTTTCTCCCGTCTGTCTTTTTGGTAAGTTTGAAAGGGTACGAGTAACATCTTTATTCATTCGTTAATTTCGCCGGCGCTGTGGAACGAAATGTTCGGGCCATAGTTTTTTTTGTTAAGATGGTAGAGTAAAGAGTAAAATCTTCATATTACCAATTTCAGCGAGAAATCAGCAATACACTTTGCTTTGGTGTACAGGAACTAAAGTCAATCCAATCTCGGTACGCTTTTTGGCCAGGTGCATTACAATTTCTAACGAATTGGATTTGTTTCCAATTTGTTTTCTGTTGGTATTGATACCAGATCCACGAATAGCAAGCAGTGGGTGGTTGTATTAGTCCATTAGCAGTTTTTCGTTTTTTTTCTCGCTAATGTATTTGTGAAAATCAAAATTGGTTGCTCCTTTATTTCTTTGATAAGCGGATATTCCCGATACTTATCTAATCATATTGTAAAAATAGCATAACACTTGCCACTCTTTGTTGCTACTTAGTGGTGGAAATAAAAAGATTATCTTTGTTCTTTAGGTTTAATTTTTGTAATGCTACTTTTGCATTCATGCGAGTTGGGACTTCTGAAATCTTTAAAATGATATTTGCTACATAAGTCGAAAGTTGTATGAACGGAGAATTGTGAAAAATAATATTAGAATGATAAAATTTTAATTCTGCGAAAAGTCTCAGAATATTCGGAAGGTTGTGGGTTCGAATCCCGCTGCCAACTGCTCCGCCTGGTGTTTTGTCAAAGGGTTTTTACATTCCCCTTCGCCTCCGGTATCCCTTGGGGTGTCGGAGGAAACACGTTGGCCTTTTTCCTTTTTTAACCAGCACCTATTTATACTGCAGCTTTTAATTGTGCATTAGCTACTTGCCCCATTTGGAAATAGGTAAGATCATTTTCTGTGTGATTATCGACGCACGGCCTCTTTTGTAGAACAGACTGTATACTTACAATAACAATAAACTGTACCCAATATAGACAACGCGCGACAAAGTCACTTTCGGTCGACGAATATTGATTAAAATTTAATCAATTAGTCCCTTGACCATTGTCTACCTATTGCTAAAAACAGAATTGGAAAATTCGAAACCGCTAGTGAGTTATCGTGTCCACAGACGGACGGGCAGAAAGTACAAAATCATAAACTCGTTTTTGTCGCTCGCCGCCGTATAATTGAATAATTATTAACTGGGAATATTATTTCTCAGTTGAATATTATTTACAATTCTAAAGTTGTTTTTCAGAATCCTCAAATTTAAATTTTTTGCATTTGACGCCGTCGTAGATAAGAAACGGCTTTACATTTAAATTTAAACTACGCGCGTAACGTCATTGTCATGACAGCACAGTTGGCTAAACTGTATTGGTTGCTTCGAGAGACGAACTTCCCTTCCTTATTGTTACATATTTCGCGGTAATGTGTTGACGTTCGTCGTTCTTTGCCATTTTGTGTCAACTGTAGCCGTATAGTTATAAAATTACGTATTCGGGTATTCCTCTTTTCTAGCTGCATATCTCGACACTGAACTCTTCAGAAAAGCGGTAAGACATTTTAATTTAACGTTACATTTTTCAAATTTGAATGACAAGTAGGTTTACTTGTAAAGTGGAAATACCAAACAGACACAAACATAATATTCAAATTTGTAACCCAAGTATAATTATTTCGTGCCGTAAATGAAAGGCCCAGTTTCTAATAATGTTATCAGTTTTTATACTACTCTCTCGCAACTGCAATGCAAGCGGTTCTCTTATGAAACGTGAGATACATCACATTGTGCAAGACGATCGCAAGATGACAATGTAAACAAATCCATTAAAACGAGAAGAAATTAAAAGCTGTAAAAGAATCGCACATTGTAAGTCACAATATTAGAATCCCCAGACCAGGTACCCCTTCACATTTTTTACAAGTGTTCTAGATAGCAAGGGATGTTTTGTGGTTTGTTTTCGTGACATCAATGAAACAATTTTTGCCTGTTTTGTCCTTATCAAACTTTAATGTTTTACCTAGTGCTTTTACAGGGTGAGTTTCTTTTCGAGTTCAATTTCATTTGCTCATATTTGAAGCATAGCTAACTGGAGAGATTTTAGAAAACATCCCTAAGTTATGTGCTTAAACGGTGCGCAAGTGAATTTTTCGCGTAGGTTTAGTGCTGGAATTCACATTAACGTTTTTTTGTAATGAAAATCATAGTTAACTATGAAATATAACGGGCGATCAAAAATGAGTGGCGGTCGAGTCGCCTTTGGAAGTTCAAGTTAAATTTTCCATGTAAACAAACATTCCAAAGGTGACTCGACAGCAATTCCTTTTGATCGCTTACTATAAGTAATGGTTACTATTCCAGCAAAAAAAATCCTTCATTATAAACGGTAATCCGAAATTCAGACCGGAACTCCACAATTCCACCAAAAAATCATTCTCACAAACCCTTTTTATATTCCAAGATTTAAATTAGGAAGTTGATTTGTCATTTGAAATTATATTCATCTACCAAAATTGTTTTTGTCGCGGATAATTCTTGAGCAATCGTCAACATAGCGTTTTGCCACTATAGATGGTTTCCTAACTTCGTGCTGTTAATAGTTAATAAGTCGGTCTCCTCCTTGGCTAGCAAATTGGCGAAAGTGTAAGTGCGTCAAAGGCAGCGCTCTGTATAAAATGTTTGTAGAAAGTGTTGATGGCAATAATAATAATTTTAATAAAACTATAGGCAATTGCACTGAAAAATTACTATAAACGCATTTGTAACCTTCGTGATTGGATATGTATTTGGTATTTTCGGTAGAATTTCAATTATCTGTATCAAGTGTTGGACTCGGATGGCTCTTCAATGACACCTGCTCCACCATAAGTCGTTTTTTGTGACAAACACTAGATTCGCTCCCACAGTTGGTACGTCTTTTAGTACTTCTGAATGTTCGTAGCGTGTCCGAATCCGTTGGAGCACCGAGCACAAAACGAATACGCAATAACGCGTTCGTGCTCGTTCTGTCAAAAGTAAACGAGCATTATTACATTACACGTTCGGTTCGGATAATGTATATACCTACGCAGCTTTACACAAGTTATACAACTATTAATTGTAATATTTTGCTGGAAAATGTATTATCTACTGTTAGAAATACAGTTAAAAATGTGGGTGGCTTAGTTAAAAAATAATAGACAGTATTAAAATGTTGTAAAAGTCAATCAAATATATTTCTCAATTACTGAATAAGAACCTGATTTTCTTTGTTTGCGAAACATTGTGGCGACCGTGACAGGACGTGTGTAAATCTATTGGTGGTTTTGCTGTGTAGTATCGGACTTTGACCGTTTGCACAGTAGTAATAAGATTACATACGCCTAACATCCGACAAGAGATTTGCTGGACAGTTAGTCAGTAATAGTGAGCTTTACGTTGAATTCGTGTTGAACATTCATTGGGTACCAAGTTTTAATAGTCATTTCTATTTTTAGAAAATGGAAAGTCTTAGAAATAAACGTGCGGCGTGTCGCAGTGTATTCACACGCGTAGCTAATAATTTGACATCTCTATTAGCAGATTCAAATAGGGACCCAGTAGAGACAGAAGCTGCATGGGAACAACTTCATGTAAAGATGGACTATTTAAGAAAATCTGATGATGAGATAATGGATAAATTATTGGAAGAGGAAACATCAGAAGAAACCATGCTGCAGGAGTTGGAAGGTACCGAAAAATATGTAGCTACATTTACACAGTTAAAGGTGAGATATAGTAGATTTGTTATTAAGCCATCAGAAGAGGTTAATAGCGATGCTAATAGCGATTTTACTAAACGACAACGCAAAATAATGAAACTACCCAAAATTGAATTAAAAAAGTTTGACGGGTCAATACGAGATTGGCTGCCCTTTTGGAGTCAGTTTGAAAAAATTCATACTGATGAGACGATTGCATTAGAGGATAAGTTTCAATATTTAATTTTCGCGACTGTGCCGAATTCTAAAGCTAGAGACGTCATCGAAGGTTTTCCTCCAACTGCAGGAAATTATTCTGAAGCAGTTAACCGATTGAAAACGCGTTTCGGCAGAGACGATTTACTCATAGAATTTTACGTTCGAGAGTTGTTGAAACTAGTTTTGCGTAATGACGGTACACATTCTAAAAATGAGATCGCCAGTTTGTATGATAAACTAGAGACTCAAATCCGTTCCTTGCAGACTTTAGGCGTGAATACTGATATGTGTGCGGCCATGTTGTATCCGTTGGTAGAATCGTCTCTGCCAGAAGAATTCTTGCGCGCCTGGCAGCGATCGTCAGATTTTGCAGCAGCGTCTAGCAATTCTATGAATTCTAGATTAGGTAAGTTAATGAAATTCTTACGTTCAGAAGTGGAGAATGAAGAGAGGATCACTCTAGCCATCGAAGGTTTTTCATTCAACAATGATGAAAAATTTAAGAAACCCAGAAGTAAAGTCGAAACTAAAACTAGTACAGCCTCCGGTCTTATTAATTCAGGTATAACCTCTTTTTCTAAGTGCACATTTTGTGATGGGAATCATGCAGCTGAACAATGTTTTAAGTCTCAAAAAATGACATTAGAT